CCGCTAAGTTAAAAACATAAAGTTAATATATAAGAGTATATTTATTCCTGTACATATTCTTATTCTTAACATTTCTTTCTCACTTGTGAGTTCAAAAACTAACACAGAGCTCAGTAGGTGTTTTTAGCATCAATTTAGTGATCAAATCATATTACAGGGTCATGAACACATGATTTTTCCTATGATATCATATTACAGGGTCATGAACACATGATTTTTCCTATGATATCATATTACAGGGTCATGAACACATGTTAGGATATATTTACTCTTTTATGTATGCCCTGAACAAAATGATGTCATTTGGATGCATTGATGCAGATCTTCTTTGTGACTATTCCCTCAAAGTCAATTGCTAGCTTTACTAAATTTCTATGCTCCTCTTTGTTGTAGATTTACAGTTGGAAGAAATGGGAAAATCAAATTAGATTATCTGCTGAAGAAAATTGGCCAGGTATACCAATCTAGGACCAAAGGAGAAATACGTTCCTCTGGGTATTGAATCATACTTGAGTGTTCTGTTATGTTTTCAATCAGTCCAATCGTCTAGTTCAGACCCATTCTTTAATATTTTTTTTCCTACCTCAGAACCTTTTTATTTCTCACCTATTGTCGCATTCCTTTGGTTCTAGCTAAAAAATATAAGGTGATGAGGCGGCAAACGACATTTGTATTCCATCACACATCTCATCCATGGAGCAGGAATCCTATTCTCATATGGATGGTATTTTCCTATTTCTTTTAAATAATGCTTACTTTCTGCATGTTTCTGCTCGGATGCTGTCCCCTAGATAGGATAGTTTCGTGCTAGTAGGATTCTGACTGTAACTCAAACGTTATACGTGAACGATGGGTTGGCTTTTCACTGGATCTTAGAAGAAAGCAAAAACTATATATGCGCTTTTTAGTTCTAAATATTGAAGGATTAATTAGCATTCTAATCTTATGCTTGTGAACTGAGAGAAGTCGTCAAATTTTTGGTAACTAAGGAAAAAAAAATTTACGTTTTTTTTTAAAGAAAACACACTTTTTGAATAATATCAAGATAATCAAAACTTCAGAAGATGAAATGAACTGATGATACAGTAAGAGTTCCCCAATTTCAATCCAGGTCAATTAATGAATTCAGCAACTTGCAGTTTTGAATTTCTTAACTCATTGGATGACTTTCTTATTCTATGCTAGCAATGAATCAACTAAGGATGGTTTTCAATGCAGCTTTGTTTTCTACGTCAGTTCAAGAGTTCGATAAGGAAATCAGACTACTTGGCCCTCCGCTTGGGATTCATTACAGTGAGTATTCGGGATTCATTCCTTCTTCCATCAGCTAGTAGGAATGCCTATAATAGCCCCTATATATATTGGGAAAAAAAAAAAAAAAAAAACTTATGTAGAAACTGCAGCTTTTTTGTTCATGCAATGCGAAACCAAAAGCATATGGTATCGAGTTTTTGTGAAGTGAAAAGAAAGAATTGCTCCTTTTCAGATAAGGATCTAGATGTCTTACGGTACCATAGTCGATCCAGTCCAACTTTATTTAGATGATCAAATAAGAAATTATATAACAGGTAGACATAGAAGTTTCAAACTTTATTTTGAGCCACCTGATATGTGGGACTAGGCGATTTAAGGACAACACAATTTATAAAATTAAGTTATCTGCTTCAATACGTGTCATTTTTACATCCTGCTCCGATAACACCCAGAAGCACAAACTACCAATTTCTTATGACTTCCACAAGTACATGGTTCGGAGCATGGAAGACGAGTTCCATGGAATCCTTGGAATTAGGTATGCAGTTTTTTATGAAATAAATCAGTTTCATTGGTAGGAAATAAGATGGCTGAATTTAGTTATGTATCATGCAGCTACCCACTATGGGGCTACGCCATTCTTTGCATCTTTGTTAACATTCACGGTAACTTTTCATTCCAGAATGATATTATAAAGACACCGTAATGTCTTATTTCTTCCTTTATTTTCTGGTTGCTTAAACTTGTCTCTATACAACAGGTTTAAATATCTACTTTTGGCTTTCTTTCATTCCGGCTGCTGTAAGTATACACGTTATAATTTTTTAACCAATAATATAAATTGTTCTCGAACTGATAATTGCCCTTGATTGTTTTGGCACAAAGCTTGTTATGCTGGTTGGGACAAAACTTCAACATGTAGTCTCCTCTTTGGCACTTGAAATTCTGGCACAAACGGGTCCAGCAGCAATTGGGACCCAAATAAAGCCAAGAGATGATCTCTTTTGGTTTGGAAAGCCTGAGATATTATTACGGTTAATACAGTTCATCATTTTTCAGGTCCAGCACACGTCATATTTTCATATAATTAGATCATCACTCTTTCTTGATAAATTATTGATGCTGTTTCTTTGTTTATGACTCGTACTCTCAGAACGCATTTGAGATGGCGACATTTATCTGGTCCTTGGTAAGAAAATGTCCAAACACAACCACTTAAATGTTTCTTTGCTCACATTTGCCACAAAAAAAGTGTTTTGATTATTTCCTTTCCAATAATGGGTAATTAATTAGAGTTGGACATTTGTTAACTTCAGTGGGGATTTAAGGAGAGATCTTGCTTCATGAAGAACGACTTTATGATAATCACGCGGTTGACTTCTGGGTAAAATTTCCCTCCAATTATACTAAGAAATTAAAAATTGTATGTTGTTTACACTTCTACTGTTTCCTGTGTCATTTAGATATGATATTGGGATGTTAGGTAATTTGTTCTGTCGAACTGTTTTTTACAGTTGTGATTATTGATACTATTAGGTAACTGAAATTGATTTTCCAAACATTTATTCACTAATTTTTTTTCCTAATAAAATAAAAAAACAGGACTAAATTCCCAAACATCCCTATTAAATACCATAAAACCCAAAAAAGTTGATAAATTAGGGTATATTTGCTTTTCAGCAGTGCTCTTAGCTTCCAATTTGATTATCTATCTAGTCTTGCAATCTTTATGTTTATCAATTTATTAGATTCCTTCTCTATGCAGTGTTCTTGTTCAGTTTTGGTGCAGCTACAGCACAGTGCCACTTAATGTAATTGTTACACAGGTTTGTCCAACTCTTTCTACAATAAAATAGTGTATATTAATTCAAATGGATTTTGTGGATTTAAAAGGTTGATTTTTCTAGATTTTGCAATAATTTTCTGAAAATCTTCAGATGGGATCCAAGTGTAAGAAAGCATTGGTGGCTGAGAGTGTGAGAGAGTCACTGCATAGTTGGTGCAAGAGAGTAAAGGAGAGGTCCAAACGTGACTCTGTACACTCTGTCACTACAAGATCAATATGTTCACTTGAATCATTGGTTGATGAGCGAGATGAAATAACCGTTGCGTCGGGTACATTGTCAAGAAGCACATCTTTCGACACGTTGAATCAGGTGACGATACAATCTTCTACACAACTGGAGGCCATTATTGAGTCTTCAAGCTTACGGATGCATGAACTTCCCCCCAATATGGCGGATTATCTATCACAATCTGCAAGTGTTTCTCATGCTCCTGCGAATGGCCATGAAAATAATGCAGAAGGTGGAGAAGATAGCAAGGTTGACTCACTTTTCGACTTGTTCCAAAGGACATGAACACATTTGACTCGAATGATTCGGTAATCGATCTCAACCAATCTTTTATACCTCATGAAAAAAAAAGGTACTTCAGTTTCATTTGTACATCAAGATAGGAAGAAATCACTAGTGACATGATGGTGACCATCAAGCTTAACCATTAGAAAAAAAAAAAAGAATCAGTAATTATTGATGCCCTGATGTTCTCGTATGGTTTTTCATTTCTTTTTCTTCCCCCAAATGCTGTGATGTGTTCTGAATATTACTGCCAGGAAACCCAACATACAAAACACAGAATTATTAGTTTACTTTCACTTCTTAGATGCTAGGAGGGTCCCAAATGATTGATGAACGAGCACAAATAAGTTATAATCCAACATACAACACCTAGCTTTAATGATACACTTGAATCATTAAGCTAAAAACACCATCATTTGCTGCCCTTCTGCAGCCTGAACAGGTGCACGCCCACGTTCGACGCCGTCCTCAGTGATCGCCTGAGGAAGGAAGTGTCGTTGATGGGGCTGAAAACTACAATGGTGGTGCTGGCCATTTTGCTACTTGGAATGGACTGAGGGTATGGTGAAAGTGAGATAATGGCTGTGTGGCTTTAATTTGGAGAGTGAAATCAGAGCATGTGGCTTTGGCTATGGCTAACCTTATCTTTCAATGACCAATGATAGCTATGGTTTTGAAAAGGGTGAATTGATTGGCTAAGTATGACAAATAGTTGGTGATTACACTTGTCTACATATGAAACAAGAAATCCACCACCACGATATTCTATGTAAAGTAAGTTTATGACGTTAAATTTAATAAATAAATGAATTCCACAAATACTTATTACTCGATAAAAGTACTCTCGAAATTTTTTGTTCCACTAATAGAAAAAACGTTTGATGATAGGCATAATTTCATGAGATTCATCTCTTATTGATAACTCCCTACTCATCATTAGCATATACACGTAATTTTGACGTTTTTATGATCTAAAACATCATATCAAACTTATATTAAACATGTTAAGTTTTAAAGATAACACATCAATCTACTCACCAAGATTTACACGATAGAATGGTATTATCGAGCAAAGTTTTAGTACATTTCAATTCTCCCGCTTTACTCGTTTTTACAAGTCAGAGTCTTCATATATTGAATTTTGGAAAAACGTTGCGATTAACTTACCAAAAATCCATAGCCAGGAGGAGTACTAACACATAACCAAGAAACCCAACATTCAACCACTTCATTAAGCTAAAAGTAACGAAAATGAACCTACATGAACTGATGAACAAGAACAATATTTTGAGTATATTAAGGTAAGAGATTGTATCACCAAAAACTTTGCTTCAACAACATCTTAGATGCCAAAAAGAAACGAAGATGAAGAGCTCAAACAACAGATGAACAGAACCCAAGTCAACAAAATCAGATTAAACCATTGATAAACAAAGACATACAAACATTAAACAGAGAGATAATATGAAATCAAGTTCAAAGGTAAAAACAGTATCCATTTTGCTTACTCTCGTCACACCTTAAATGACTGATGAACAACAAGATGAAAACAAAAAAATTAGGCAGAATCAGCAAAGACCTCCTCCTTGTGGGTCTCAATTACAATATCAGATTCAGGCCTTGCAACACAAGTCAGAACCCACCCATCTTCCATTTGTTGATCATCAAGAAAGCTGTTATCAGATTGATCCACTTTCCCTGATTTCAGCTTCCCAATGCACGAAGAACACGCCCCTGCTCTGCAAGAGTACGGCAGATCAACGCCGCTTTCCTCCGCCGCATCAAGAATGTAATCATCGCCGCTGCATTCAATCTCTTTCTCTCCCTCTGGTGTAATCAGCTTCACCTTGTATGCCATCACTGTCATGCTTCCACCGCGGCTGCTGCCGAGTTTCAGCCCAAACAGAGACTGACCCACGTTGGGAAATGGCCTCAGGCTTACCCCGGTCACCGGCTGCTGCCGCCGGAGGAAGGAGGTGACCGGAATTGGGGCGGTGAGTGCGGTGGTGCTGCCCATGATTTGTATGTTGTGGAGATGAAATGGGATTGAGAGGTTGTGGGGGGGTTTTTTTAAAGAGGATGATGTTGGGCGTGTGGCCTCAATGTGGAGACTGAAATTTGAGGATGTGGCTATGGCTCAACGTCTTATCTTTTGCCAATGAATGGTAAGGGTTTGGATTCTTATCCGGATTTCTTGAACAAATAATATAATTTAAATAAATAAAAATAAATATTGAATACTTCGAAGAAAGTACGGTAAAAAAAAATAAGTCGTATACATGAACCACGGTTAAGCTAATCTTGTCCCGTGCATATGAGTAATTAAGTGAATTACATTCCATTGCTGCGATTTAAGATAAATTATGTATCATTCACACAACTTTTATGAAATGGCACATCACGTAGCATAATCTCTCAAGTGGTGCCACAAAACTCGTGTACAATGTATACAAGTTCTATGTGCGACTCGTATATAAGATGGTCTTTAATAAAACTCTACGAGTTTCTCTTTTTTCCATGCTGGTAGTATCTCACGTCCTATTGGGAATTTCGTTTTTAAAATGTTTGAAAGAAAAGCTATTGGTATTGGTGAAAAGAACGAGATTAAATCGGTCTCACTCTCGTCTATATGGTCATTGATCTTTAAAATATTTAATAATTTCTTACCTTTTTGGTTTTAAACTTTAAAAAGTGTTTAAACTTTCCATGTCATGTCCAATAAATCTTTAAATTTTTAATTTTATGTTTAGTATTTAAATTATTTAATACTCTTTATTATTTATGTATCGGTTAAGATTGAGAATGATAAATATGAGGAGAATTTGTTAAAAATTCATAGGTCTATTAGACATTTCAAAGAAAATTAGATAAAAAGTTTAAATTAATTCGATTAAGGAAGCTCAAGATTAAAAAGGGAAATAAATATTAATGAATGCGACAAAATTTTATTAAACCTGATCTAGAAAAAATGTATGAAAAGTTTCAACTCGTTAACATATATTAACGATGCACGCGCTTTGGTGATCGACATTATGCAGCCTGTTCGTCTCTTCAAGGTAGCTGCCATCTGACTGATCCATCTGGTGTGATCAGTTTCACATTGTACTCTGCCATGGCTATCACTCACCCACCACAGCTACCAACCATCAGCCCGAACAGACCATGGCCGAAGTTTGATACTAACCGTAGGCTGCTGCAGCCAGAATAAGCAGGTGTTAATCATGGTGGGTGCTGGAAATTGCTGTGGTGCTAGCCATTCTGCTACTCTACCATTGCCACAAAGCTCCAAGTAGAAAGGAGGTGGAAGAGATGGAATGGATACAGCAGGCTAAACAATGGATCATGAAATGAGAGGCTATAGCCATAGCCAATGGAAATGACATTGTGTGGCTTAAAAATGGGTCCTGAAATGAGAGGCCACAGCTAATGTTATCTCTACGGGATCATGGTACGAGAGGTCATGGCAGCCACACGACCCACACGACCTTCTTTCATTGAATTTTCTTCGTTCCAACAAAATATGACTTTTATGTAATGCAACGGCCTAAATCCACTGCTAGCCGATATTGTCATCTTTGGGCTTCCCCTTAAGGCTTTACTAGGGGAAGATTTTCACACCCTTGTAAATGGTGTTTTGTTCTCCTTCTCAACCAATGTGGGACATCACCATCCACCCCCCCCCCCCCCC